TGAGGGTTGCGATCCGTTGCCGGTCACGAAAAAAGACAAAAAGAAAAAAAAAAAAAAAGATCATGTCATCTGCAAACTAAGAGTTTGACTTCCTCCTTTCCAATTGGGATGCCTTTTATTTATTTCCCTTGTCTAATTGCTCTGGCTAGGACTTCCAGTATTATGTTAAATAGAAGTGTGAAAGTGGGCATCCTGTCTTATTCCTGAGCTAAGAGGAAAAGCTTTCAGCTTTTCCACATTCAGTATGATGTTAACTGTGGGTCTGTCATATAAGGCCTTTATTGTACTGAGGTACATACCTTCTATACCTAGTTTGATGAGCTTTTTATCATGAGCAGTGTTGAATTTTGTCAAATGCTTTCTCTGCACCAATTGAAATGATCCAAGGCGTTTTGTCTATTAATGTGGTATATCACATTTATTGATTTGCACGTTAAACCACCCTTGCATCTCTATGATAAATCCCACTTAATAGTGAATGATCTTATTAATGTGCTGTTTGATTTGGTTTGCTATTATCTTATTGAGAATTTTTGCACCTATATTCTTCAGGGATATTGGCCTATAATTTTATTTTTGTTGTGTCCTTCTCTAGTTGTGGAAACACAGTAATGCTAGCCTCACAAAATGAGTTGAGAAGTATTCCTTCCTCCTCAATTTTCTGGAATAATCTGAAGACAATTATTATTCTTTAAATGTTTGGTAGAAGTGAGCAGTGAAGACATCAGGTCCTGGGCTTTTTTTTTTTTTTCTTTCCTGTCCAGTAAGGAGAGCACAACCCTCGGCACGGTGTGGTCCACACCACACCCAGCCAGTGAGCGCACTTGGCCATCCCCATATAGGATCTGAACCCCTGGGCTTTTCTTTAATGGAAGACTTTGTATTACTGATTCAATTTCCTCACTTGTTAACTGACCCATGTAGATTTTCTATTTCTTCATAATTTAACCTGATTCAATTTCCTCACTTGTTAACTGACCCATGCAGATTTTCTATTTCTTCATAATTTAACCTTGGTAGAGTGTATTTATCCAGGAATTTATCCATTTCTTCTGCGTTATCAAATTTGTTGTTCATAATACACTCTTATGATCCTTTGTATTTCTGTGTTTTCAGTTATAATGTCTCCCCTTTCATTTCTGATTCTTTTTTACTTGAATCTTCTTTTTTTCGTGGTTAGTCTAGCTAAAGGTTTGCCAATTTTATCTTTTCAAAATACGAACTCTTCATTTTGTTGATCTTTTTAATTGTTTTTTTAGTTTCCGCTTCATTTATTGCTGCTCAGAGCTTTATTATTTCTTACCTTTTGCCAATTTGGGGTTTAGTTTGTTGCTGTCTTTCTAGTTCCTTTAGGTGCAATGTTAGGTTGCTTATTAGAAATCTTTCTTCTTTTTTGATGTAGGCATTTGTTGCTATAAACATTCCTCTTAGAAATGCTTTTGCGGGGCCGGCCCGGTGGCGCACTGGATAGTGCGCCGCTTGGGAAGCGCAGCGGCGCTCCCGCCTGAGGGTTCGGATCCCACGTGCAGACCGGTTCCCGCTCACTGGCTGAGCGAGGCGCGGGAGCAACGCCGAGGATTGCGATCCCGTTGCCGGTCCCCAGTCCGGTACGGGGGCAACACTGAGGGTTGCGATCCGTTGCCGGACATGGAAAAAGACAAAAAAGACAAAAAAAAAAAAAAAAGAAAGAAATGCTTTTGCCATGTCCCATAGGTTTTGGTATGATATGCCTCCATTCTGTTTTTGTCTCAAGGAATCTTTTAATTCCACTTTTAATTTCATTAACCCATTGGTTGTTTAGGTGCATATTGCTTAATTTCCACATATTTGTATAGTTTCTGAAGTTTTTCTTGTTGTTTGTAGTAGATTGAATTATGTGCCCCCAAAATTCATTGCAGCTTGAATTGTGTCCCCCAGTTTTATGTATTAGAAACTTAGCCCACATTATGACTGTTAAAAGGGTGGGAAATCCTATTACAGTAATTGAAAGGTGGAGCCTTGAAGAGGTGACTGGATTGTAGGACCATACCATAGTAAATGGATTAAAAATGGTGGTCAGGGGCATGGTTCTGAGGGCTTTAAAAGAGAGTCTGGGGCCAGGCCCCATGGCTCACTCAGGAGAGTGCGGCGCTGGGAGTGCTAACGCCACAGGTTCAGATCCTGTATAGGGATGGCCGGTGCACTCACTGGCTGAGTGTGGTGCAGACCACACCGTGCCGAGGGTTGTGATCCCCTTACCAGTCAAAAAAAAAAGAGTCTGTTTTGCTCTCTCTGCTCCACCATTTTGCGATATGATACCCTGCCATAACTGTCATTACCACCAAGATCTTCATCAGCTGTGTTCCCTGGACTTTGGGCTTCCCAGGCTCAGAAACTATAAGCAGTAAGTTTTGTTTTCTTATAAATCTCCCAGTTCCAGGTATTTTGTTATAAGCAACAGAAACAGACTAATACATTGTGATTTCTAGTTTTATACCACTGTGGTCAGAAAAGATACTTGATATGATCTTCATCTTTTTAAATTTGTGTAGACTTGATCTGTGGCCTAATATATGATCTATCCTAGAGAATGTTCCATGTGCAGCCGAGAAAAATGTGCATTCTGCAGCTGTTGAATGGAGTGTTCCGTAAATGTCCATAAGCTCCATTTGGTCTATGGTGCAGTTTAAATCATATATTTCTTTGTTTATATTGATCTGTCCATTGTCGACAGTAGGTTATTGAAACCCCTATTATTACTGAATTGCAATCTCTCCCATTAAGTCTAGAATGTTTACTTTATATATCTGGTTGCACTGGTGTTGGGTGTGTATATATTAACAATTGTTATATCCTGTTATCTTTTGATATCTTTATCATTATACAAAGACCTTCTTTGTGTCTTCTTAGTTTTTGATTTAAAATAATCTATTTTATCTGATATAAGTATGGCTATGCCTGCTCACTTCTGATTTCTGTTTGCATGGATTGTCTTTATCCAGTCCCTCACTTTCAGTCTATGTTTAACTTTAATAATAAGGTGACTCTCTTATAGACAGCATATCAATGAGTCTTACTTTTTTATCCATTCAGCCACTCTGTATCTTTTAATTGGAAAGTTTAATCCATTTACATTCAAGGTTACTACTGATATGTGAGAACTTATTCCTGCCATTTTGTGAGTTGTTTTCTGGTTGTTTTGCAGATCTTTAGATTCTTTCTTTTTCTCTTGTTATTTACCTCTGTGGATTGGTGGTTCTCTGTGGTACTAAGCTTTATTTTCCTTCTCTTTCTCATTTGTGTATCGGCTGTCACTTCTTTTTTGTGGTTACCTTGGAGCTAATGTAAAGTGTCTTGTAGTTATAATAAACTATCTTAAGCGAACAGCAACTTAATTTTGGTCACAGGAAAATACTCTAGCACCCCTCCTCCTAATTTCTATTTCTGTTGTCTTAATTTATGTTTGTATCTATTGCACATTCCTTAGCCAGTAGGTAGCTATTGTTTTTTGACCATTTTGACTTTCAGAAATTATATTTTTAAACATACTAGAATACTTACAGGTGAAATTACCAGATGTCTCGGATTTCATTTAAAATATTCCAGAATAATAAAACAAAAAAAGAGTGGAAGCAAGAGAGAAAGAGAAGAAATTAGAAAGACAAAATGATCACTAGTGAAGTATGGTAACTCATTATTTTATTCATGCTTCTTTAATAAAAGAAGTATTAAAAAAAATACGTGAATTGAGTGGCCAGGACAATGGTTAGAGGAAGAGACTTCACTTTATGACTTCTTATAGTTTGTCAATGACAGTATATTTGTGTTACCTTATGAAATAAAGTTTTTAATAGAATATCTAAGTCTAACATTAGATTTAATAAACCGAGCATTAACCAAAACATAATGGCCCCTGTTTCTCTCCACAAAAATAAATAGAATTAAAGACACTGAGCAACATGATATGCAATAACTTAAGTTGTAGGTATGCAGATGACATTGTTCAAGAATGATGTACAACAGATATGGAAAAGGAAGGAAGTGAAAGACAGAATTCAAAAATACTCAAGTTAAAATATGGAAAGTGGAAGATGAATTTACAACTTATGCTAGAGGCAATGTACAGCCATTTAAATTTTTTTCTTTTCATAAGTTGAAGTTTTAACTTTGATGAAGTCCAATATATCAATTTTTTTCTTTTATACTAAGTTGTGTATTGTCTTAGAAATCTTTGCACGTGCCAATGTCATGAATATATTCGAATGTTTTTTTCTAGGAGGCTTATATTTTAGCAAGAAATGCATTTGTTCTTTCTAACTGCTACATTCTTCTGATCATAACCATTTCCAACTCTGAAATGAACAGAACTGATAATTTGGTCTATTGGCTTATAACTTTTAGAATCAAACACCTAGTTGGTGTATCAGCCTTAAATTATCACAAATGAACAGAACTAACAGTATTTGGTGTGTTTTGGGTCACACATTACACTGCTAAATTTGCAACTCCTAGCTTGTTAATTCATCCATGTCATTATTATGGTCTTTTTGGGGACATCTTTAGTAAGCCTTTATTAGTAAGATAAGAGCTGGTATACCTTACTCTTAAAAATTCAGACTTTTTAATGTTCCTGATGTAGTGTCTTCACAGATTGTTAAATGAATGATTAATGGATTGATACTCAGCTTCTCTTTGACACATCAAATAACTTTAGTGAGATTCTTACAAGATTGTCAGCTTTACTAACTTACATGAGTATAATGTAAAGAACCAGCATACCTGTATTTCTTCACGTTCCTTTTTATCTGGAAAAGTTCTTGCAGCTGTAGTATACTTTTCAAAAACTTTACGTTCCTTTTGTAGCTTCCTCATTTCTTCCTTTTTAATCTCTTCTATTCGAGCCAATTCTTTGGCTTTCTGTTGTTCAAAGTCTGCAATTTCTTTCCTAAAATGGCCAAACCATGTTATCATCTAAGGGGACTATCTGAATATAGTAACCCATGTATGGTACCAAAACAGAACCCAGTCAGGGCCCTTGTGAATCCATTTTCAAACCACAGGCCTAAAATAGCAGCCAATCCACTCACCAAAGCATTCATCCAACAAGTATTCACCAAGCTCCTGAAATGAATCAGGCACTCTACTGAATACTGGGGAAACCACAGTGAAGAAAACAAAAATCCTTACTTCCACAAAGCTTCTTACATTCTAATGGAAAACAAAGGCAATAATAAACAAGATAAATAAGTAAATGAAATAGAAGAATAAAGAGGAAAATAAAGCAAGGGAGGAGGTTAGGAAATACTTTGGTGACAGGTTGAAACGCTGGAAGGGCATCTTGCAGAGACAACATATGAAGTAAAACATGAAGGTAATGAGAGAACAAGCCATGGGGGTGTTAGGAAAAAGCAGTGCCAGCAGATGGAGTGCCAAAGGTCAAACCCCTGAGGCAGAAATGTGCCTGAGGGGCTCAGAGTAGCCCAGAGGCCAGTGTGGCTAAAAGAATGAGCAAGGGACAGATAGTAGGAGAAGATGTCAAAAAATGAGGAGACAAGATTAATTAGGATCTTAGAGACCCCTGTGAGTATGTCAGCATCTGCCTCAGGTGAACTTCCCAGTCCAGACAGTCTGTAGATGCTGGTGAAAGGTACAGGGAGGCACAGGAGCAGCAGAAAGTGATAGGAAGTGATATTAATACCCAAGAAGATGAGGGGACTTGGGGATTCTGCAAAGCGGTTGGGTTAGTCCTGGAGTGAGGGAGTAGAAGATTCAAGGATGACTCCAAGATTTTGGACTTGGCAAATGGGAGAGGAGACTTGTCATTTGCTGAGATGAGGACTGTGAGAAAAGTGTGAGAGGGAATATCAGGAGCTAATTTCCTACAAATGATCAATTTGAAATACTCATCAGCTCTCCAAATACAGAGAAAAGCTAGGCAGTAGGAAATGAGCTAGAGATTTCTGTATGTGACATGACCACACCCGAATGTTATTTAAAGCCTTGAGACTGGATGAGCCCACCACAGGAAGAAGAGCAGACAGAAAAGATATTCATATTTAACTAAATACTCAAAGTGTCTATGATGTACATGTGTACATCATATATAATAAGGCAAAAACTGGGGAAACAATACATGCAGTACATTTGACAAACATTTAATATCCTTAATAGAGCAATATAGAATTCATACAGTCAGTAAGACAGACTTCCCACTACAATAGTGAGCAAAGGTCAGGAAGAAATATACAAAATAAACAGAAATGACCACTAAATATAAAAGCATGCTTAATTTTATCAATAAAAAGAAATGCATGCAAGAGAAAATCAAGATGGCAGAATAGATGGCCTCCAGTGTTACTCTCTCCTGCAATCAACCAATTTACAACTATTAAAAAAGGCAATGACTACCAAGCTGGGGCCACTAGAGCCCAGGGGAAGAGGAAGAGAGAACTACGGAGTCCATGAAGGCAAGAGAAGCTGTGATGAGAGAACAGACCACTCCAACCATTTTGAGCCCCAGCCACTTGAAGGCTGGCCTTGGTGAGCACAAGGAACAAGAGCTGGCAAAAACCATAGCCGTGTCCTTTGTGTGAAGATGCCTGGAGACTGCAGAGGAGAGGAGGGCCTTGGTGGCCCCCAGGCCAGCAAGACCACTGACAGAGTTCCCATGGTCCCACATAGAAGCAAGGGGCCACAGACTACTGAAAAAAGGAGACACTCAAAAGCCAGTGAGTCATTGCAAGGAACGAGTACATGGCCTGCCCCATGGGAATTGTTTGCAGTGAAGTGGGTGGGGGAAGACAGTCCACCAGGGGAACACTGGGGCACAGCATAAACTGCTGATCTGCCCTCCAATCAGTGCAAACAGGTTGGGAGTACAGATGTGCAGGGGGTGCAGTTTACTGAAGAGACTCAGGCCAGAGTTTCCACACAACCCAGGCATATCAAACCTCACAAGACCCAGAAGTACTTAAAAGGTCAACAATTCAAACCTGAGCTGCATAAAAAGTCTTCTCCAGGGAACCAACAGCAAAGGAGCAATTTACCTCAACCAAAGGGCTCAAGTGCTGGACCCCACAGGAAGTTCCCCCATTTTAGAAGTAAGCAAAGGACAACAAGTTAGTTCCAATGCAGAGTTTAAGTGGTCAGGGTAGGTAATAATCCAACACAGAACTAAAAGAAAACACAAAACACCCACAGATCAGAGATAAAGTTCTGATATTAACCAGTGAAGGTAAAGGTCTAACACTACCAAAGAACACCTATAAAACCTAGAGGAGCCAGAAGCCCCCCAAGCCCCAGAGCTGGGATGGTGGGCAAGAAAGGGCCCCAGCCACACTCCCCTGATATCCACATATAGCCCAGGGACAAGCAACCTGCTGCTGAAAGCCACCTGGGCCCACAAGCCAGGGTGGGGGGTACCAAGGGCCTCACCCACAGCTCCCCGAGGTCCACATCCAGCCTGGCGTTGACCAAGCTGCTGCTGGAAGCCCCAAAGGCCCACAAGATGGGTTAGGGAGTGCCCAGGGCCTGAGCCACACCCAACGTTTGCATCTACGCCAGCAATAACCGAGGCAGCATCAGAAACCCCCCAACCCCCAAGCCTGAGTTGGGGGGGACTGTAGGCCTCAGCCACACACCAGCATGCTCCACAACCAGGCCAGCTACTTCACTGGCCAGCCCCACCCCCCACCTCCACCTCTGTTTCCTTACCCCCTCCCACCGGCCCTTCCCACTGCTCCGCAACATCATTGAATGTAAAAAAAATAATAAAATAAGCAAGGTTTAAGAAATTTCAAAAAACAATAAAAATTTTGAAATAAAATATATATATACATAAATAAAAAGACGTGCAATTTTCTTTTTTTTTTTTTTTGATGGCTGGCCACTACTGGGATCCAAACCCATGATCTTCGTGTTATAAGGCTGCACTCTAACCAACTGAGCTAACCGGCAGCCAATTAAACACAAATTTTAACAGGCCAAAGATGATATAATTATCAGGTTGGTAAGATTTTAAAAACATAATGCTCAACTCTGAGAATGGAGAACAAATATGACAAGGAGCCTTGGATACTGACCAGGACAATGGAAGTTGTTGAAATTCATCTTAAGTATTTTTTAAAAAGTAGTCTTGTATATATGATGATATTACCTACATGATAATCTGTAATAGTAAAAATTGTAAACAAGCTAAGTTTCCATCAACAGATTGTTTGACTAAGTTACAGTAGCACTCAAACAATGTAGTCATTTCAAGGACATAGAAGATTTGTGTGTACTACTATGGTAAGATGTCTGTTATGTTGTTAAATTAAAAAGCAGGGGAATGGGGAAAGATGGTGGACAAGAAGTAACCAACACATAATCCTCCCACAGAAAAGGACCAGAACAAGGAATGGACAGCTAAGTACAGGGGACAGTTACACTGACAGAATGTGGGAGAGCAGCAGGAGACTGTTGAGGACCCTGTGCAGCATGAAAACCAAGCAGTATGGTGTAGAGAAAGACCCATATGGCTTCAGCTACTGCTCACATCTCCAATACCAGGACAAGCCAGTAGGAAGTCTTTCTTGTGGCAGAAAAAATCTGCTTGGATGTAAGCACTTCTCAGCAGTAACGCTCCTACTGCTTTGCCCCTGGCCCACCCCCACAACCATCATGGTTGTCTGTACCATTGTACCATAGCCATGGCCCTTGTCCCCACACAGTAGTTCATCCTGAACAGTATATCCCACCATGTGGCCCACAACCACCCAACATGGCTCCAACCTTCTAGACACCAGTGCGGCCCCAGCCACCCACATGACTCCAACTACCCAGCCTCCAGCACAGCCCTACCAACCCAACGGGACCTAGCTGTCCATCCACCCACATGGGCCCTGTCTTCTGACAGCCAACATGGCCCCACCCACTGGTATGGGCCCAGCCACCACAGCCGCCCATGTGGCCCCACTCACATGCATGGGCATAGCTATCTAACCACACTGTGCAACCCCACCCACCCAGCCACCCACACTGCTTCCACCAGCCTGCACAAGCCCAACTGTACATGCGGCCCCAGCCACAGACGTAGCTGCTGGGGCCCCCTGAAACTACTGAGTTTACCCATAACAACTGAGTCTACCCAGAATCAAAATTGAAACACCCACCCAATTGACAATATATAACAAATCTACAGGAGGGAGTCTCTCTCCTCAAAAAACACCCCAGAGTAATAAAAGAGGCAACCACTGCACGAGATGACTGAACATCAATGTAGTGATACTAGAAATATGAAAAAACAAGAAAATATGACACCAGAAAGTGAATATAATAATTCCCGAATACAAAATCCCAAACAATAAAAACCTTTGAAATGTCTTAAAAGGAATTCCAAGTAACAATCTTAAAGAAACTCAGTGAGATACAAAAAAAACTCAGACAACACAATGAAATGAGAAAAACAATCTAGTACATCAAGGAGGAAACTTACAAAGATAAATTCCATAAAAGAAAATGTAGCAGAACTCCTGGAACTGAAAGACTTATTCAACGAAATAAAAACTACAATTGAGAGCATTAGCAGCAGGCTACAATGAGAGGAAAAGAGTTTTTCTGATCTCAAACACAGTATTTTGAAATAACCTAAATGGGCAAAAAATAAATAGAAAAGAATTTGAACAAATGAAGAAAACCTAAGAGAGCTAGCAGACAATCTTAAACCTCAGAATCATATGAGTTCCAGAGGGGGAGAAGAAAGGAAGAGGCACTGAAAACACACTCAAAGAAATAATAATGGAAAACTTCCCAGGTTATTTGTAGAGATGAGAACTTCCAGATCCAAGAGGCTCAAAGATCCCCAAACATTGTAGTCAAACTCTCAAAAGTCAAAAACAAAGAAAGAATCCTAAAAACAGCAAAAGTGTCAAGTCACCTATAAGAGAGTCCCTATAGACTAACAAC